TATGTATGATGTATGTATGTATGTATCTCTTCTTCTTTTTTTTCTGAAGCAGACTCGAGTGGCTTAGAGGAACGCACTGCAGGCCCCCCGCGTGGTGTCGCGTGTGTCTGCCTATCTCTTTGCTTTGCTTGTGACTTGAGGGCAATTCCCCCCCAACCCGCGCAGTGCGCTGCCGGCGTAGCTGCACATGAAGTGTCGCTCGGACTGAAAAATCGGGTCCCCCCCAGTCACAACAGGCAAAGGTCTTACCACATTAGGTTTTCCGAAGTCCCACAAATGCCGCGTTGCTGCTGCTGAATCCCCTAAACCTTGATCCCTAAACCCAAAACCTGAAACCCCAAAGCCTCTGCCTCTTCCCTTCTCATCCCCCTCTTCGCGGCCTCGATGGAGAGCTCCCGGAGGGGCGGATGGATCAGGCCCAGCCTTTGCCGTAAAGGCTTTAAGGGTATTTTGGGGGGGATCTTCGGATTTTGGACGGTTTTAACCGGGCTTCTAGATGGGTCTTGTAGGGCTCTATATAGGGTCAGATAGGGGTGTCATCAGGTTGCAATTGGTTTGGTACGAGTAAAGCATCCTATATGGATAATAGCTAACTTTCTGAACCCGTGTTGGTTTCCTTTAAACCCCAAGTGAACCATTAGGCTACTTGTTGGCTACTTGGAACAACCCATCAACTCCGCCACAATTCGAAACAAACCTAGCTTCGCGCATGAACTCGCATTGCACTGCGAGAATCAACACCAAACACCGCTGCACATCCATGACGCACCCGAGCATGAAACGTCTGGGAAGTCAGGAGCTTCCCGCAGTCGGATCGCATAGTGCGCGGGGGGGGGAGGGGGGGTTCAGGGGGGGGGGGGGGGGGGGGCCATCCGTGGCAATCAGCATGCTTGTGATTTCGGGGTGCCCACGTTTGATGGAAAAGAAGATAGCGGTTTCGTTGAGACCATCCTGGAAGTTCGTCTCGAACCCCATATGGGGAGTTCCGAAAACAGGTGACNNTATAGTACCCTAAATAATAAGATCCCTATTATAAGGACCCCCAAATAAGGTACCCTAATTTTGACAACCACCCATATGAATCAACAGAAGTACTAGCACCATTGCGAGATTGCCTTTCGATGCAGCATAGAACAGGGAGTCTGTTGGTTCTTGTCCATATCTCCCAAGTCCACTCCCATCCCCTGGGAGATTGTTGCTAACTGCTCGGACCAAGGATGGGTTCCGGCTTCTGCAACAAAAAGAAGTTCTGGTCAAGGCTGTGATCTGCAATATTGGCACACTGCAATGCCTGCTTGGCTTCCGCGAAGTCATCATCTCTCACTTTGATTCCGGCTGCAGGTCTTGAGACAGAGTTCGATAGGTTTTCGCCTTGATGTAGCACGTGTAGGTCGCCACTGAAAGAAGGCATTAAGCCATTCAGCTTGAACAGCGTTCGACGATATTTGGGTGGGACTTCAGTGCCCAACCCAAAGCACGAAATCCGTGTGCCGAGACCGGGACTCTTGGTATACTTTGTCCAAGCCTGGGAGGTGAGATGTGATGAGACTGTCGGAGTAGGTACGGATGACTGACGGAACTTCTCGTGATGTGATGCACAAACTCTCTGGCCTGTGGCGAGGAATTCACAGCAAGTGAACGACATTGGTTCCGGATTACCAAGGCTGTGTCCTATCGCCAGGGCCCGCAGCTTCACACCTGCGGCCGAGGCCAAGGCAGAATGCAGGCTGAAAGCGAAAGTCTAATGCAGAAATTGTCCGGCACGGATGTGCAGCATTGTCAACAGCTATAGTTACGCATGGACATGGTAGCTGTTGCTAACGGCAGCAGGAACATTACGCTCGTCGTGGCTATCAGCGCTACTCTTCTGCGCAGTGTTGGACTTTTTCCTGAAGACATGGCTCAAAGCCTGACAAAGCGGCGTCCACACGGTGAGGCATGGTCGAAGCCATCCCCGCAACCTTCAGGCCTCGGATGACGTCGAACAGCACATGATCATGCACACAAACAGAGAAAAAACGACTGCGCATGTGATACGTGATACAGATACTGCACGCTGATCATAGACAATGTGAATCTTTGAAGGGCGTGAAATTGCATATATCACTGTATATCTACAGCAGAGGACATCTTCATGTTTCTCCTAATGCTATGTTCATCTATGTTAGGTTCCTCTGCCTTGACCCGGCCTCTCCTTGCACTTGACCACATATGAGCCGCGGAACTAATGGTGACCGCTGGTGACGCATCGCCTGTGCGTTGCGTGCATCGTGTCTTTGATGTTCTGAGGACTTCACGAGTAAAACGGTGCGCGGTGTGGTTGTCCACCTCACTGCAACTTCTGTCGGCAAAAAAACGCTTTACACTTTTGTCAGGGCTGCTTTGCACGAGGCTACCTGGTCTTCCTCGGGTCCGGTGATACTGATAGTATGAAACCGAGATGGGCCTTGAATCAGATCCTTGGTTGAAAACCTGCCCCAAGAGGGAGAGTCTGGCAGCTCGTGGTGCACTGTGCAAATCTCTCCTGGGTCCTCATACAGAGGCCCTATAGCAGTTGGGAAAGGGCTTCAAGACATTGCCAATCATTCAGACTCCTTCTTAGCCGATGCTGTCAAGAGAAGAAACGCTTTCGAGGGTTGCGCATAGCACGATCGAAACCGCTGGGGGTCGCAGTCCTGGAGAAACTAGCCAACGTGACCACATGTCCACAATGTGATGTGTGTTGCGCCGACAACCGTACCCCTGCCTTTTTTGGGGCTTGCGCTCCCAGAACAGTTCCGCCTCAAGCCTCAAGCTGCTGGTCCTGCGCTGGAATGCCGCTATCGGTGCCTGCCACGCTATGCCGGAGTTCAGGAGCACGACTTAGCCTATCCAATCAACTGAGTATGCAAGAAGTACCCAACTACCAACTTCAAATCAGACCCTACATCCCAAAACTGGAACCGAACACCCAAACCCTCAAAAACCCCCAAAGCTCTACACAGAACAGAGCACTCAAAGCCCTGCATTCATCCCCAGGGGACGGAGCACGGACAACAGAGCCTGGCCTCGCCAAAAGGCCTGCTTGCCGACTTTCGCACCCCAGGGCCGGTGGCCTCGGCTTATCTGCTGCATGCATGCACACTCACATGAATACATATATATATATATATATGTAATATATATATATATATACCTGGTGACTTACCTGCACACATACATCTAGGCATAGGTATGTAGATACACATATACAACCTGTTTGTCTATGTCTACAGCGATTAATGACATGTACAAGCAAATAAACCGTTAAATGCGGAAGAAACGGAGAGATCGCTGCACCCAGTTGCAGATGCAAAGACATTATGTATAATATGTGTTATATAAATATGCGTATGCATCTACGATGACAGACAAACAGCCAGCCAGCCAGACGAACAGACAAATGCATATACATATACACCCCCAAACATGTCTATGCGCATGTATGTGTGTATATGTAAATATACACACAGATACATACCCATGCACAGTACACATACATGAACACTTGAACACATACATGCATTAATACTTACATTACATAGCATAACCTAACATAACAGACCAGAATATGACGTACGAACCACTATGTTGGCCAACACGTTCAAATAATAACATCACACTCTATGCAAACATATTCGGGTTCTTCGGATTCCAGTATGTGCTGCCAGGCGCAGCTGTACGTTGCTCGATGCCATGATATGCTTCTGTTGCATGCATACACATATATGTGCCGACATCACCGGGTACCTCCACCCCTCCACCGCATTGTGAGGGTGTATCCTGCCCCCCTTTCAATTGTGGAGCGACATGGCTCCTCCCTGGCATGGCACTTAAGCGGATTGAGGAGGTTTTGAGGGGGGAAGGGGGTCAAAAATGCTTGCCAAGGCTGCTGCAAAGATTGAGAGACCTCTCTTCGATCTAGGCTTCCACGCCGTCTGCGAAGCGCACCATGTTCTCCACCTGGCACGTGTCTTAATCACGAGACTGCATGAAGCACCGACCACCCGATTCAAGTCGCTAGACTTTGCTGTATACTGCATACTATGCGATATGATGTATGATATATTATATATGTGTGTACACCTATAGTAATGACGATAGGAATAATAACCATAATACGCGACTTATAGGTAGATAAACACAGATAGATAAGATAAGATAAGATAAGATAAGATAAGATAAGATAAGATAAGATAAGATAAGATAAGATAAGATAAGATAAGATAAGATAAGATAAGATAAGATAAGATAAGACAAGATAAGATAAGATAAGAT